TCCTGCCCACTCAGACCTCCGCCCTTTTGCCCTTGTGCTAAAAACCTGCCCCAGGACCGCTTCCTGGAGCCCTTCTCCCAAATGCTGCCCTCTGATTGCCCTGTGAGCGCAGGCACTCCTCATACCCTGTGCTCCTTGGGCGGGAGGAGTCCTGCCTGCTCTTCCCTCCCTCACGCCCCTGACTCTCAGGCCCCCTCATGCCTCCTCCTGGGTCAGCGGGGTCAGCGGGGATTTCCGACCCGACACAGCTTTGGGGATTCTGCATCTCACAGCTTAACTCCCTCCAGATGTTCAAAGTGATTTCCGGCCAAGCCTCTCTGTGCCCTGGGGCCTTGCTCCTCTCAGAACCCACTGGTGTTTCCCCTCCGTGCACCTGTACGGTACGTGTAAATTAAGTTTATCGACGGCAGAAGTTATTTTCCTCTGTGTTGATGTTTGAGAAGCACAAACATGTCCGTAGCTTGTTTTTCCATCACCAAAAATAAGCTTCGTGAAGAAGGTGGGTCTTCCGCGGTTTTCATTTCACTTGTTGCAGTTCACCTGTTCTGAAACCACGTAGCCCCTGGTGATGGGGGAGGGACCCCACAGTTCCCGGGACTTCAGCCATGTCTTCTCCCCAGCGACCATGGCCATGTCCTAAAGCTACAGGATTCTTCCATAAGCTCATCCAGGCCCGGTTATGTGCCAGGCATGGCCCCAGGCATCATAGGTACCACACGTCTCCCCGGAGCGAACAAGTTCAGAGTCTGGTATCTACCATTTGCCCAAAGAAATGCTGCCATGGATGTAGGCCTGGGGCCAGGATGGCCGAGACGGAGATTTCCTGGGCCTGAGAGTCAGGAGAGGCCCAGGGAAGGGCTCCCGTATGAGACACAAGATGGAAATAAAAGGAAGGAGGCGAAAGCCTGAGAGAGGCGCCACGAGGGGCACCCCCAGCGATGTCTGTGCAGCATCCACGTGTGTGGTCCAGAGGACTGATGGGCTGGAGAGGGTGGTGATCACTGAGGCCAGCAACAGCCACGAGGAGGAAGGATGGGGCGCTCAGGACTCAGGAGCATGGGAGCGAAGCCAGGGGAGCAGACCAGAGTCCATTCACAGACGTCAGTGAGGAAGCTTGCACAAGACTGGCTTGGGGCCAGGGAGGATCACTGTCCCATCTGGAGGACAAACCCAAGGGGTGCCCTTGCGCAAGATGAGCCACAGAGAGAGTTGAGTGCTGAGTCTGAGAGAACTGGGCCGCAGACCAGAAGCTGTCCCCGTCCATAATGGGAGCTGCAGCTCAGGAGGGTGTGACTTCGGGGCCACTCAGGGGCAACAGTTGAAGCCCGGAAGGGAATGTGTTGCCGTGTTGGAGAAATAGGATGAAGCGATCCAACAGTAAATGTGAGAGGGGAAATGGGGCTCAACACAGTCACAGGCTTGGGGACTTGAAAGTGGGCCTTTGCATGCTGTCCTTGGAGGCCCTTGAAGCAGTGAGGGGGGTGGGGAAGGTGCAGGTGAGGGGGGCGGTGGGTGGGGAAG